ACTATAAATAAATGTACCATATTTTATATATGCAGGTATTAATTAAAATTAAATAGTCAAGTTCAATACTATATGTATTCACCACATTCAAATTGAATTTTGGTATATTAAATGTTTAAAAAAATTAATATTTTTCTTCTCCATTACCATACTTTAGGTTTCTCAATCATTAAGAAACAAAATTAAAAGACTATAATTGAATGACCCGTAAATTATATATATCTGGATAATAATTAAAATTAAATAATCAAGTTCAATATCATTTATATTTACCATAATGACATTTTATTATGGTATAAGAGATGAAAAAAAAATTTATATTTTTCTTCTTCCCCATCAACAAAATTTAAGTTTCTTCACCTCTAAGAAACTAAGTTAAAATACTATAAATGAGTGGCCCATAATTTATACATATGGGTAATATTTAAAATTAATTAATCAAGCTCAATATTATTTATATTCATCGTATTCAAACATAAATATACTCAATATGTTTCTTCTTCGTCACCAAATTTTATGTTTCTTCGCCAATAAGCCATATAGTAAAAAGACTATAAATGAATGACAAATTTAAAATATATATATGGGTAATCACTAAAGTTAAATATTCAAGCTCAATGTTATTTGTATTTACCATATTCACATTGTATTATAGTATAATAGATGTAAAATATTTCAATATTTTACTTCTTCTCTGTCACCAAATTTTAGGTTTCTTCACCACCAAAGCAACAAAGTTAAAAAATTATAAATAAATGTACCATATTTTATATATGCGAGTATTAATTAAAATTAAATAGTCAAGCTCAATACTATATGTATTCACCATATTCAAATTGTATTTTGGTATATTAAATGTTAAAAAAATTAATATTTTTCTTCGCCATTACAATATTTTAGGTTTCTCAATCATTACGAAACAAATTTAAAAGACTATAATTGAATGACCCGTAAATTATATATATCTAGATAATAATTAAAATTAAATAATCAAGTTCAATATCATTTGTATTCACCATAATCACATTGTATTATGGTATAAGAGATGAAAAAAATTTCTATATTTTTCTTTTTCTCAATCAACAAAATTTAGGTTTCTTCACCTCTAAGAAACTAAGTTAAAATACTATAAATGAGTGACCCATAATTTATACATATGGGTAATATGTAAACTTAAATAATGAAGCTCAATATTATTTATATTCATCGTATTCACATTGACTTATGGTATATTACATCTAAAAATGTTCAATATTTTTCTTCACCGTCACAAAGTTTTAGAATTTTTTATCCCTAAGCAACAAACATAATAGATTATAATAGGTGAAAAAAATAATTATATTTTATTCTTCTACTCCATCACAAAATTTTAGGTTTTTTTATCACTAAGCAACAAATATAATAGATTATAATTTATACATAATCTTAATAATTAAAATTAAATAATCAAGCTCAATATCATTTATATTCATCGTATTCACATTGACTTATGGTATATTACATCTAAAAATGTTAAATATTTTTCTTCACCATAACAAAGTTTTAGGATTTTTTATCACTAAGCAACAAATATAATACACTATAATATATGTAAGAAAAATAATTATATTTTGTTCTTCTACTTCGTCACAAAGTTTTAGGTTTTTCCCCACTCAAAAACAAAGTTAAAAGACTACAATCCATGACATATATTTTATAAATATAGGTAATAATTAAAATTAAATAATAAAGCTAAAATTTATTTAAATTTACCATTTTTATATTTAATTATGGTATACATTAGATGTATATATATTCAATATGTTTCTTCTCCATCACCAAATTTTATGTTTCTTCGTCAATAAGCTACAGAGTTAAAAGATTATAAATAAATGACAAAATAAATATATATATATATATATATATATATATATATATATATATATATATATATATATATATATATATATATATATATATATATATATATATATATATATATATATATATATATATATATATATATATATATATATATATATATATATATATATATATATATATATATATATATATATATATATATATATAGGTAATCACTAAAGTTAAATATTCAAGCTCAATGTTATTTGTATTTACCATATTCACATTGTATTATAGTATAATAGATGTAAAATATTTCAATATTTTACTTCTTCTCCGTCACCAAATTTTAGGTTTCTTCACCACCAAAGCAACAAAGTTAAAAGACTATAAATAAATGTACCATATTTTGTATATGCGGGTATTAATTAAATTAAATACATAAATGGGTCTCTAAATAGAGTCCTAATTTATGGTGGAGCCTTGGGTGAAGATAGTAAAGCAGTAATTGAAGGATATATCAAATCTGATTATGCGGGTTGTATGGATTCCAAAAAATCTATTTTTGGACTCTATGTTTGGTGCAACAATCAATTGGAAAGCAACACTTCAGAAGGTTGTTGCCTTATCTACCACTGAAGCGGAATATATCACCCTAAATGAAGCTGTGAAGGAAGCATTGTGGCTTGAAGGTTTTGCAAAAGAGCTGAAACTTCAAGGTCGAGTTATCACTGTTAAATGTGATAGTCAAAGTGCAATACACTTGTCGAAGAATTCAGCCTATCATGAGCGAACCAAACACATTGATGTGAGACTGCATTTTGTCAAAGGGGTAATCGACCGTGGAGAAGTCCAAGTGCTAAAGGTTTCAACAGATCATAATGTTGTTGATATGATCACCAAGACATTGCCAAGTTTCAAGTTTTTCCACTGTATGCAGTTGATAAAGCTGCATAAAGAAAGCTATTTTATTGATATTATAGAGTTAGACCCAAGGTGGAGATTTGTGAGATATTGAATCGAACTTTAGTATGTTGTTAGAGTAATGCATGTTGTAGTCGAAGTTTTCTCTAACATGCATTAGTAAATATTGCTAGGTTTGTTAGCATATTGAATTGGGTCTTGCTTGTAAGCCCAATTGCTTAAGTTAGCTTGTATTCTATATTAGCTTGTAATGGGTAATTGTTAAAAAGCTCATTAGGTTAGTGTTCTAATTTTCTTATAAATAGCATGCTAGTCTCTCATCTTGTATAAGGAAAAATAGGAAGATAAAATTCTAATTCAAGAGAGAGAGGTTATTTTTGTTATTCTTGTATACTTGTAATCTTATTTGAAAGAGAAAGGAAAGAATAGCAGTTTATAACCAATCTATATTGTTTTCCCTTGTTTTGTTTCTTAACCCTAACCCTTGTGTGTTTCTTGTTTATAAAGAAACTGTTCATATTCGGTTTCAAGGCATCTTATTCACAACATTTTTAATGACAGCATTTCTCTCAGCGATGGGTGACCTCTCGTAATGCTCAATTTCAAAATTCAAAAATTTCCTCAGTAATATCTGTGATGGACAACCCCACGCAATGAAATTTTTTATTTTTATTTTTTATTTTCTGCATTGCGAGGGATTTAACTTCAAGCAACACATTAATTTAGTGAGGGGTTTAACCCCTGACATTTACCACCCGACAAAAGTAATGATGGTAATATCCCTCGTATATTTAATCCACGCATTCCCTCCATATTAATTTTGGGACAAAATGATTGATCTGGTCTATTAACTGCCTCATCCCAACCCTCTCTATTCAAGACAGACTCTATTGATTTCAGACTACAATCCGACTAGCTTTGAAAAAACAGTTCAATAAATTAGACTTGTACACATTCCTTCAAATATCAATATCTGCCTCAGCAAACCCTCGATATTCAAAGCGAACTCTATTGATTTCGAACTACAATCTGACTCACTCTCAAAAGCATGGTTCTATAGATTAGCTTTCTTTATATATATATATATATATATATATATATATATATATATATATATATATATATATATATATATATATATATATATATATATATATATATATATATATATATATATATATATATATATATATATATATATATATATATATATATATATATATATATAACGTTTTGCATGCTATCTTGATATCATTAGACTTCAAACAATAATGTCAGCAAAAACTGATGGTTGCATTAATAAAAGAATGATATAATCTAAACAGTGGCAGAAGAATAGGTGGCTAAAAAAACCATTATCTCCTAAATAGAGATATGACCCTACCTTAAGTTTTTGTCACACCCAAGTTGGCTATTTGTTAAATCATCTTAATTGAGAAAGAGAAAAATAAATAATTATTATGAAATGTTGGACAAACAAATCTACTTAAAGGCTTAAAACAATTTTAAATTTGGAATTTTAAAATAAAAATAAAAATATTAGGTTTTGTGAGAGAATACATATAGTTAATATGTGCTATTATATATTTCTAACTAAATTTAAGATTTTTAAATAATTTTTCTAACTCAAAATTTTAAAATTTAAAATCGTTTCTTGAATAACTAATCGTTTGATTAAAGATGGATTTCAAGATTCAACTATCGTTTATGAATGTATATAAAATATCGACTAAGTGAAAATTAAACTCACAACCTTTTAGAAGCATATCCAAAAAGCTCTTGCATATCTTTTTCTTATGTTACATTTGAGTGCCAATAGTAGACCCACTAATTTATAACTCAAATCATGCATGGTTGGTATTAAATAACCTTTGCATTATTTCATCTCCATTTATTCATTATAAAAAAAAAGTTAAAAATAAAATAATAAAATTACAAAATTGCTCATCAAGATCAAGATTGCCCCAACTCACACTCCGCATGATAAAAATAAAAGAAAAACAAAAAGCCTCTCTTCCTTAACTCTTAATTCTCAAAACTCTAACCCTCTTTATACTAACTTTATTATATTACTAGTTGACATGGTATTCAATAATCTCGATCGTTGATGAAGAACAAATAATCGAGATCTGTGATTCAATTTTGTCCAACAAAATGCAATGACAAAATTATTTTTTGACTGACTTAAATTCATTCATCTGAGTCCAAACTCTCAAACATTGTAATGTCTCATATCACGACTCCAATGGCTTTAAACAAACTTGAACACCATATTTAGGCTTAATTGTGAGCACTACCACAGGCGCATGACGATAATTATCTGAAATTGTGAAACTAAATCGAGAGATTAACATAGCTAATATAATTTTAGCTTCCATTAGAGCAAATGTTTGTCCAACACAATTTCTAGGGCCAAAAGCAAAGGGTAAAAAACGGCTAGGAATGAATGATTTTGAAGTAAACCTTTCTGGATTGAATTCATTTGCATCTTTACCCCATAATTTTTCATTATGATGAATAGCCAAAACAGGAATCCAAATTGATAACCCTTTAGGGATATAAAGGTCACCCAATATTATATCCTCAAAAGCCATTCTTGGAAGAACAGATGCTGGAGGATACAACCTCAATGACTCGTTGATTACCATATGTAACTGCAAAATTAAATTAAAAGTTTGATTAGTTGATATATTAATGTATAATATATTTTTAAGTATTTGATATGGTATAGGATCTCTCAAAATTGGTATAAAGATAGAATTTTATAATATATAATAAAAAGTAATATTATCACAATTAAAAAATTATTAAATATAGTCTCTATTTTATATAGTTTTCTCAACAACAAAAAAACTCATGCCAATTAAAAGAATATTTAACTTAATTTAATTTAATTTTTTTGATTTAATTAAGAAATAATTTGTATTTATTGAAATATTTTTCTTAAAAACTCATTTCATACTAGATGGAAGATGTTATTCAAAAAAAAAAACATTGGAGGATATTACATAAATTATATCATTAAATATAATATAATTATTTAAAAAAGATTAGCTTGTGTTTTTTTTAATAAAAGGGTTAGTTTATGTTTTATAACATTTAATTTAGGGGCATCTAATATAATTTTATTATTTTTACTAAGTTTTACTTAAATATTATATTTATTTTCCATTTTTATTATAATAAAAACATCCGTTACTAAATATTGTAAGGATTCACTTTGACCATTTTAAAATCTATAACAATGTTTTAGTAAAATTTGATTTTTTTTTCCAATTATTTTTCTACCAATAAAAAAAAAATCAATATCTTTTTGAAGTGAGTGGCCATTGTTATTCCATTGAGTGATAAAGGTCAACTCATTTTCTTTTTATTCTCTTTTCCTATGATACGATTTTTCTCTTCTCATAAAAGTATGATTGTATCCTTATTCCAAATTTGAATGAATAGGTTTCATCTTTTGTGCTTGTACACTCTCTATAAAGGAAGATAACCATAAATAATAATATTAATATATTATACTAAAAATGACAACGCACGAGTGCAAAGATGAATAGTGAAATAAATAATATTTTAATACCAAAAAGAAAAATGAAATCCTGATTTTTGTTTGCTTCTATATATACATATCTAACTTAAATTAAAATATTTCTAAACTGTCTTTTTCTAAAGATCGTGCTAATTAATAATCACTTAATTAAAAGCCTAAGATCTTTAGAATGATTAGGCTGTTTGGTTGAAATTCTATAGCCTAAATTATTTTAAAATTAACCTAGTTTAAAATTTTTACACACATATTATAAAACAAAATAAAATAATTAAAATACTTGATAATTTTAAAAAATTAATTTTATTAGTCAGTTATTTGTTTATTCTATCATAAATATAAAGTTAAATATATATATGAAGAAATATAATATATAATATTAATTAAAATATATAGTTCAAAATATACATCAATAAATGAAATTGATATTTATTTTTAGACAATTTTTGTTTTATTAAAATTACTCTCATTTTGAAATAGATGGAGTACTAGCTAATAGTAGAGCTACTAACTACTAAATTATTTTTTAAACAAAATATAAGAATATTAAATATTAGTAACTAATTTCTTTTTAATTTAATTTATTAGTAAGAAGTTAAATAACTCTTAAAAAATATCTATAAAAAATATTTTCACAAAAATAAATATATGATGTATTAATATATATATCTAAGAAAATATTTCGTAAAAAACAATTATGCATGATTCTAAATGCAACTAATGTATAGGTACTATGAAAAGCCACCTTATTTTACTAGATAAAGATAAATAACAGACATTTTCAAAATTAAAATATTTATTCAGACATAAAATAAAAGTAAAATCTTGTTTGAATAGACAATATATTAACATTATTTATTAATATAAGTGCTTATATACAAATATATATCAGATTATTTATATAAAATATTATAAAATAATTTTTTATATTATAAATTGTTTTTATACAATATTTTGAATATTTTATAGAATTAAAATATAAAAAAAAAAGTTATAAAAACACTATAAACTATTTTCATAAATCATCTCACACAAATAAATAGACTCATATAACTTAATTTCGGCCTTTGTTAAATATAAATTTTTATGTGATGTTTTATATATATATATATATATATATATATTATTTTCGAGTTTTTACATTTATATATTTATTGATATATTTTGCAATTGAAAAAAATAAAAGAAAAAATTGGTAATAACTTACCATAGTGAGCTTGGAGAGTTGATCAAGAGAAGGAATTCCACCATTGCAAACCCTTTTAACTTCATCTCTAACCTTTTCTTGCCAAGTAGGATTACTTGCTAGTAACATAACTGTCCAAGTGAGTAACAATGCTGTTGTTTCATGTCCAGAAAAGAAAAATGTTTTGCATTCATCCATTACTAGTTGCAAATTTAAGCTATTTTCCTTTTTTTTCATTTCATTCAATAGTATTCCCAATAAGTCATTCCCATAAGAATTGCTTCTTCCAATCTCAACACAATCTTTTCTACTTTGTATTATTTCCATCAATAGTTTCTCCACTTCCATTTTCAATGACTTTATTTCTCTATTGTACTTGCTTGGAAAAAATCTGTATAAATAAATTCAACTTTATTAAAAAGAAAAACACTCATTATCATTATTATTTTTATTATTATAATTAAATTTTTTAAAATCAACAACATTTAATTTATTTATTTTTAAGAGATAGAATTTCAATCCATTAATCATGTTGATTTTATTCGCAGTTTTATGCAGCAGACAAAAATTTTAGACATGCACCCTTTAATTTATGCGAATGTCTTGTTCTGTCCCGTTTTTATTTTCTGAGTTATTGCGGCCGCAATCATTCATAATCTTTTACAATTTTAGCCTTCAAAAAGTGAAATATTTGCAGACCTGCGCTCTATCATTTTTTTTCCTAGACAGACCAAAGTTTTAAGTAGACACTATCATTTTTAGCCGAGTGAGTTTAAACATGACGGACACACCCGTTTGTATAAAAATATATGGAAAAAGATAGAAGAAAAATTGTAGTTTAGAAAAGAGTAGGTTGTTGTAAAGTGAAAGTAGTTACCTGCTACCAGGAAAGCAAAGATGGCGACTTGCTTGAGCACAACGAGTCTGCAAAACTGTCAGTAGATGGAATATTTTCTTTCCCTTTTGGTAACTTGTACCAAACTCAGTCCTAGAAATAATATCTGCGGTAAGCTTTGTCATGTATTCACCAATCTCCACCTCACTTTCTCCACACTCTAAACCTTTTTCTAGTGATTCTAACATCTCTTTTGTGCATTCCACCATATGCCCTGCATAGCTCTAAAAGTAACATCTTCGTCAAACTTTCTATTCACACACTTCAAATTGAAAATATGCTGAGTATTGCAAGTGTCTGTATCTTGTATTTGTGTCCGTGTCTTGTATAATTATGTCTGTGTCTGTGTCTTGTATTTGTCGTTGATGTTGGTGTCTATGTCTGTCTTGTATTTGTGGTTGATGTTTGTGTCTGTGTCTGTGTCTTGTATAATTTGTGTTTGTGTCTGTGTCTGTGTCGGAAGTGGATCAAAATTTTGAAGAGAATGTTTGAATAATATACCTTAAGTCTGTCGCCGATGAATGCAGGGGCAACAATGTGACGTTGGTGATACCAATTTTCACCATTTGCCATCAAAACTCCATCTCCAATGAAATGTTTTGAACCCTGTTTTTGTAACCATGATTTACCAGACACTGTACTGTATTTTGAAAGAAACTCTTTTATCAATTCTGTTTCTGTCAAACACAACCTTGGCTCCGAACCGTTCCAATAGATATATCTCTTTCCTACAAAATCAATTTTACTTCAATATTTTTACTATAGTAATTGTAATTTAATTATATGAAAGCGACTCAGATGAAAAAATATTTTCATCTGAATCGCTATCAGTCTATATAGTTGACATACCGAACTGGGATGACCAGAGGAGAAAATGAGGGAGAAGACGGCCGACAATGTCGTGGCTTATAGTTTTCATGTCTTGTGAGGTTGATTTGGAAACAAGGGAAGCCATGTCGAGGATGTTTCCGGTGAAGAACCGAGGTTTCGGGCCGCGGACGCCTTGCATCTCCATCATTTTTTTTATTCTAAGTGGAGTGAGAAAGTAACATGAAAGGTTTTCATATAAGAGTTTGAATAAAAGAGTGACTAGTATGAACAAAAGGATTGTGAGAACAACCATCTTATATAAGAGAAGTGATTCTGAGATTATAGAAAGAGTTCTGATATGAGATGGGAATTTTATGGAAGACTCAACTTATGTTTATATAGTGGGAATTTGATCATGATTATTCTTTCATTTTATATACACATACTGTGGTTGAGTTAATTAAGTTATAAAATTTGGTTAAGTGGTTTTGCCAAAAGTGCTTCTCTCTGTTTCATTAATACTCATGATTCAATAGGATTTACATATATAAATGTTCCATAGTATAGTAGAAAAGTGAACCAAAAAAATAGAATAGTGAATCAATTTTCTCTCATTCATGTATTACTTTTCATTGTTACACTAACTTATGAACTAGTCTCTATCCCACCGCCACAAACTTGCCACCTCGTTTATTGAATAACTCTAATTCTACTACGGAATAAATAAATTATGAGATGTTCATTAACTACTTTTTTGTTTTTTTATTTAATTTATATGAAAATAATTTAAATTTATATTATCATTCTTAATATAAAATACAAAAACAATTATATAGTAAACACACATAATATAAGTGTTTTAACTAAATTGTGTATTCAAACCAAGCATAAATATCTAATGTATAAATAGATATGAATATGGATAATCAATTGTTAATCAATCAAATTTTAAGATTATAATTTATAAACTAAACCATAACCATAAATATCTGTTGTGAATCGTATACCTTTAAACAAAGTATAAACTGTTTCTTAGCAAGGAACAACAAAATATAAATGGTTTCTTAGTAAAGAACACATAAGGGTTAAGATTAATAAAGAAGAAAACAACATGAATTGATTATTAAACTGCTATTATTTCCTTTCTCTTAGACCAAGATTACAAGTATACAAGAATAACAAAATAACATCTCTCTCTTGAAATTATGATTTTATCTTTCTATTTTTCCTTATATCAAGATTGAGAAACTATTATACTATTTATAAGAAAAATAACACACTAACATAATGGGTTTTTCAATAATTACTCATTACAAGATAACTTAGGGTACAAGCTAACTTAATCAATTGGGATTACAAGTAAGGTCCAATTCAACGTGCTAACAACCCTAGCAATATTGATTAATGCATGTTAGAACAGACTTCGGCTACAACATGCATTGCTCGCGAACAGACTTCGATCATACTAGAGTTCGATTCAACATCTCACAATATCTAACATATAGGTGTGTATGGGTAACTAATTAATGTGAATCGGTCAATTGATTATGATTTAAAAACTAAATCATTTATCACAAAAATAAATTTTAAATTCATAACTAATTCTGAACTAGTATAAACCCGAATTTACATGAGTTTTGATTTTAATTAAATTATCTAATTAAATCTAAAATTCAGTCTCTTTAAATTAATTTCAAGTTTTAAATTTAAACACTTAAAACAAATTTTATATGTCTTTAAAAATAGTGTTTCTTGAAAAAAAAATTGTTCAAAAAACAAAAAAAAATAGAAAAAAGTTCTGAAAATAAAAAAAAAGTATTTTTTTAAATAAAATATTGATTATTTTCTAAAATTAAAAATATTTGTATTCCAATAAATAAAAAACATAATTTCTTTAAGAAATAAAAAATAATTTTTATTCCAAAAAAAAAAAACATATATTTGTTTTTGAAAAAATTCAAAAATTTAAATTATTCGGAACAAAATTTATTCCAAGAATTTAAAAAAAATGAAAAAAAAATATTCTGTAAACAAGAAACATCGAAAACAAAATTATGAAAATAAGAAAATATATTTTGTTAAAAAATTAAAAAAATTATTTATTTTTGAAAATAAAAATAAATTATTCTGAAAATTAGAAAAACTTAATTTTTCCGAAAATAGAAAAAAAAATCTCAAAAAATTCAAAATAAATTTGAAAATATTTTTATTTCTAAAAATAAAAAATTATTCCAAAAATATATATTTATTTTTCCGAAACTAAAATACTATATTTTTATTTAATAATTTTTCAAAAATAAATAATTATTTTTTTCAAAAATAAATATTATTTTTTCAAAAATAGAAAAAAAAATCAATTTTTTTTTATTTTGATAAAAAAAACTATGAAATTTAGTAAAATTAATTTTAAAAGTGTCAAAATATAAAATTTGTTTATAATTGCAAAATAATTATAAACTAGTTTATAAATACAAACTGGTTATAAATTAATTTTAAATTGAATTAAAATCATTTTAACAGTTAACTTTAATTTTTATTAAAGTGATTATTATAAACTGAATCCCACTTTAAATATAGTTATATTAAGTACAGTTCATGAACATCCTATAATAAAATTCTGCAAATAAACAGAAGAAAAAACAAATCAAATAATTAATCCGTACTTTCTTTTTATCTTTCAATAATATTCTTTAGTTCTTTAATGTAATATAAGCACCATTGATCCATGAGAGACCCGGACTTAAAAAATACATACTAAGAATTTTTATATGTAAATGTCTTAAGAGAGAAAAAAGAGTGAATATATATTTGAAAAATAAAAAAGTTTATATATATATATATATATATATATATATATATATATATATATATATATATATATATATATATATATATATATATATATATATATATATATATATATATATATATATATATATATATATATATATATATATATATATATATATATATATATATATATATATTTATTTATTTATTTATTTATTTATTTTTAAAATTAAATTTTAAAATCAGAATTTATTAATGTGTTATTAGAGAAACTTGACTCTCACCATAATGTATGTGTATATGATGAACTATGAAAAGAGACTAACATATCAATTTAATACATAATAAAATTTGGGTATTCAATAATTAAATCACATTATTATTGTTATTATTATTATGGATAGCGGTTTATATTTGACTAACAAAATGGACATCAGTTTTTATATTTCACGATTTAAATTGAGTTTTTAAAAGTTGAACAATTTGAATATCAATTTGATTAAGAATTACCGATTTTTTTCACACCATATGTATAAGTTATTTGTATAACAACAAATAAATAAAATAAAAATTAATTTTATATAAGATAAATTATTTTTCGATAGTTTATTTTAAAAAAATTATTTTAATAAGCTGAAAAATAAAATTTTTGAACATGTCATGAATTATTTTCTTAAGTTCTTTTAAAAAGTCTCAAAAAAAAATATTCAGAAACAAGTCGACACCAACTACTTTAGAATCAAAAAGAAATGTTCTCATTGCTTTGGAAAAAAAGGACGGTTTAGTGTGTGTACATACATAGAAAAAAAGCCATTAATAAAGGACATGACATAAACATAATGTCACAATATATTTTACATATATGCAAAGTTTGCAACAAAAGTTAAACTTCAAAATGTTGATGATTGTACTATGAGAATATTTAGAGTAATGCTATAGTAACATTTTATTGGTTTATTCCATTAGGTTATGATTGTATTTGTTTTGGATTTCAAAACTTTACCACTTCTACACAATCTGAAACTCTAATTTCGCATGATATATACTTTTGTATGGCTTAATTGTTGATTGTATTATTCAATTGACTAGATAAGAGACTTGGTGTAATGAGTGTTATCTTTGAAATTGATCTAAATTTGTTGTAGATGGAATTGATTTCCATCCACAAATACACTAATTTGAAGTTATTGTAAAATAGTGTAGGAAGAGTTGTTGCAATTCATGTGGTTATTGGTCAAGTACAAGTATTTGTTTCAAATGGATATATAGATGAATACTATAATACTATATTTAAATTGTTTTTGTAGTATAATACTATAATATTAGATTAATTTTTTTCCATCATCTGAATGTTAACTCTGATACTATTTATTGAAGGATTTTAAAGAATTTCAGATGATGAACAAATTAATAATTAAAATTTATATAAATTCTTAAAGTAAAGTCATTCTTTCTAATGATATTATCAATGTTATTCAGGTTATCTTCCTATCCTTTTTTAAAATGCATGTGTAAGTGTTAAGAAAGTTAATAGGATTTAGAGGGGGTTGCTTTGTGGAGGTGTGAAAGGTGTTTCCAAGATCTCCCAGGTGAAGTGGTCCGATGTGAGCAAATCTAAGAAGAAATGAGGTTTGCTAGTTTATCCCTTTTATCCAGATGAAGATGGAAACTAATTTCGGGTGCATCTGATCTTTGGTGTGATATTCTTTCTGCTCAATATGGTGTATCTATTGTCTCTTCCTTACACGTGGGTAAGTATTTTGGGTTACACTCTGCTTCCTATTAGTGGAAAGGAGTGTCCCTCATCGGTTCCAAAAAAGATGATCTTTCAAATTTATTTGAGGATGGGCTTGTTAATTAGGTAGAATCAGATCTTCAGGCCTTTCTCTGGGATAACCATAGGGAATATACCTCTTATGATTAGGTTTTAAAGACTTTTCACCATCTTCCAATTTTAAGATGAAATTGTGGGTGAGATAGATATGTGGGAAGATGAGAGGATATTTTAAGATCTTAGGCGGAGGAGGGTTTCTAACTTCTTTTTTGTCTTTCAAGAGGTTGATTTTAATGAGGAGAGTGATATGTTAGTTTGGAGGACTTCTAGATATGACATTTTTTTTGTGGGCTATGCTTATCATATCAAACAGATCTCACTTCTCCCTCTGATACTCACTTAGCTATAGAGAAATCAACTTTCCTTCTTATTTGGGATAGTTGGGCTCCTTCTAAGGTCTTTTTTGGAAAATTTTGTAGGATAAGTTCTCTTCTATAGATAACCTATTCAAGTGAAAGGTTATTATCCACTCGAAGGTATCTGTTGTATCATATGTGGGAATTTGCTAGATCTTGTATCATATTTAAGTGTTAGCTGTGACTTAGCGTCCAGTGTATGGTATATGATGTTTATGTAGTTGGGATTGCAAACGACTCTTCCTATGGAACCGAGAAATCTTTTTAATTTTTTTCAATCTTTAATTGTTAAGACTAATATGAGGGGAGGTTTTCTATGATTTGTCGTGTTGT